ATTCATGAATTAATACCTAACATGTTAGGATCGGTTTAAGATTAACAATTGTTGACTCACAACTTGTATATAACCAAACTCATAAAACACGTAATTAGAGTAAACCCAGCTCGAATTCGGTTCAATTTACCCGTATACTACCTCTAGCTCTACCTATGCAGAACACACTCTCTTCCTCCTCTCCTAATCGAAGCACAGGCATGCCAAAATGCTTGTCCTCCTCTCTCAGTGGATGAACAAGGGCTCTTTCTAATTCTTCCTCTATATCAATTCCATCATGTTTGGTACGAACATAACAAATGCATGGAAACAAAATTATACTAATGTAAAAAGACACAAAATTAGTTATGAACTCGAATCATCATTCACCCATCTTTGAGAAAGGCAAAGAAAGGAAAGAAAAGAAAAAGAATTGGAATCATACTTAGACAAACACAGAGGGACTCCAACAAACACAGAGGAGAGAAAAATATAATGGAACCATACCCATTCGAAAAGCATTTAAATTCGACAACAACCAAGTATGGAATGGAAAATTATGTACTTGCTCGAGCTTAACAAAAGATTTAAAACAATTGTGGATAAATTACAGAAGAACTCATTTTATTTTTGAAAATAGGGGGCAAATTTGGGGAAACAAATTGAGAAAAATTGGGTTTACTGTGGAAGGAATAGGGCAAATTATGGGAGAAAAATGAGGCAGGACGTCTTCACAATTTTTTTTGCCAGAGCGTCCTATTTTCTGTCTTCCTTTTTCTTTTTTCTTTTTTTCATTTTTTTGGCAATTCAGGTGTATATTTGGGTTTTAAGCCCAAAATGAAAAAATGTCCTAACCTGATTAAGTTTGAAGATTTTAGCCATTCTCTTTATATTTTAACATTTTTAACCCCTCAACTTTATTAGATTTGTAGGTTTAGCCATTCACCTTATACTATGACATTTTTAACCCCTCACCCATTAAAATTGAAGAAAATAATCCTCACTTTATAACATTTTGTTAGTTCTGTTAGCTAATTATTAACTCTATTAATTGACGTTAATTAACTCTTAACTCACAAAAATCTTCTTTTAACTAACAGAGTTAACAAAATTAACTTTAAAATATTTCGTTAATTTTGTTAACTGATTATTAGTTGACTGTTAGTTGATAAAAACATATTTTCAGCTAACAGAATTAACAGTCAGTATAAAGTGAAAATTATTTTCTTTTCTTTTAATAAGTAAGGGCCTAAAACCTATAAATTTAGTAAGATGAAAGGCTAAAAGTGTCATGAGGTGAGGTGAGGTGAGGAGATAAAATCTTGAAACTTAGCAAGGTGAGGGGTTAAAAGTAAGTTTTTGCCGAAAATGTGTTGGTAATGGTACAAATTTCGTCTTTTTAATTTATGTAAGTGTACAAAATTTTTTATATTTAAATTAAGGGCTAAACTTTCATATCTTTTAAATAAGAATGTAAATTTTATAATTTTTTTATTTAAATATTTATTGAGTAACAAAAATAACGGGACAAATAATAATATTAGATAAATAGGTAAATTTCATATTTTTAAATAAAAGATAAAAATTTATATATGATTTGGAAATTCAAAAAGATAATATCTTTAAATTTTAAAAATTGACAAAATTGATCACTTTTTCTCCTCAAAGGTTAATATTTTAATGTCAAAATATCTGAATTTTTATGTTTTTCATAAGTGAGATTGGATTTTTTTAATCTGAAAATAAAAGTACCACAATACTTTTAATGAGTCAGAATAATTAAATATATTGAAATACTTTTATAATTTATACTCTATATAATTTAGACTCAAAAAATGAAAAAGGTCACTAAAATAATTAATTAAACTATTAAAAAAAGTATCTCATTACCATTCGAAGCGTTATTCCTCCTCCTCAGCCGTCTCCGGCATGAGAGTTTCACTTGATTTGTCACATAAAATGAAATCTAGATAGAAAAAATTATTTTTGTAAATAAAATATATGAAGAAGATGCTAGTTTTATAATTAAGGGCCGTTTCATTAGCAATATTGGAGGAAATTTGTGGCGACTTTCAAAAAATAGGCCGAGAAAGAATTAATTTACAAAAATTAAAAATTGAATTTAGTTAATTTGTGCACCGAAAATAATCAAACGAAATCAAAATATTTTGGTTAATCTAAATTTATTTTGAAAAGTTATATTTTTTTAGTTAACCTAAAAAATTATTTGGTTTTTTTGATGAATCGATGAGTTAACTATTTAGTAATACAAAAATTTTAATATTTAATTTTGATCTAAAATTAAAATTTTTAATTTAGTAAGTATTAATGTAGTTAAATTTTTTTTAGTTTAAAAAGTTATTTACTTGGGATATTGAAAAACATATACTCCCTTAATCTTTAAAAAAAAATTAATTAAAATTTTATTTTAAATTAATTATTATTTT